GAGCGTGCCACTGCCCTCCAGCCTGGGTGACAGAGTGAGACTCCAACTTAAAAAAAAAAAAAGTCTAGCCGCTTCCCTGTCCTCTTTCTGCCTCACCTGTCTAGATTCTAGAACAGAATGTGAGATCTAGCAGCAAGAGCCCAGTTCCCAGGGGTTGTGCCCGCCTCCCTGGGCTTCCTTCCTTAGGGCTGGAGGGGCAGCTCTGCAGGAACCAGAAGCGCCCCTTCCTTGGGGGGCAGGGGTGTCCTCGGCTGCCACCTGCTGGCACGTTGTGGTACTGCAAACACATGACGTCACTGAGTGACCCGGTGGCTTGGGCGGTTTTGCTGAAACGACTCCGGCCAGCCTGGGGACTCACAAGCCGTTCTTCTGTCCTTCCAGGAGCACGCGGAACAGGGGTCTGCTGGGAGGGATGGTCTGCAGGATGCTGCCGTCCGAGCTCACGTACCCGATGGCCCACTGCCCCAGGCGAGTGCAGCTGGGCCGGAAGATATAGCTGGGGGGGCAGGGAGGATGGGTGAGGTGAGGGACGGTCACTGCTGTCCCCTCTGGGATCTCCCACCCGTTGGGATCCTCACCCCAGCTTCCCATCTTGGAGGCAACGGGCAAGAGACTCCTGTCTGCCACCACTGGGGGACACCTGTTGTTTTTGCCTGCTTGGTTCTCCTTAGGATAACAACACCCCTGTTTCCACTTGGAGATCTGTCCCATCTTCACTGGGGTTTAGACAAAGCTGATTCTGGCTTGGCCAAATCATGGCATGTCAAGACCCCTCGCCACAGCAATGGAAGTTAGTTGTGGGACTTTTGTCGGAAGTGTCAGAGCAAGGTATCCCATAACCACAGAGCTGGCAGGATATATGGTTTGGGCTTTGGAAGCCATTTGCCACCACGAGGAGAGACCAGGATCTGAGAATGAAGCTAACGCAGAGGAACACCAGGGACAGGAGACAAATAGGAGTGGATGCCTGACGACAGCACTTGAGCTCCTGGATCCAGCTGTGCCTGAAGCCCACCCCTGGTCTTTTGCATTGTGGTAATTAGTCCATTCCTTCCCCCAACTAAAACAAGTCTGAAGTGCAACCAAGATCCCCACCTTCCTGGGGCCCCTGCACCTCAGCCATGCAGAGACTCACAAACCCAACCTTCTATTCCCTTAACTCTTTTTTTTTTGAGTTGGAGTCTCACTCTGTCGCCCAGACTGGAGTGCAGTGGCCGCTCCCGGACACCGCAGCCTCGACCTGCTGGGCTCCGGCAATCCTTCCGCCTCAGCCTTCCAAGTAGCTGGAACTACAGGTGCACGCTACCACACCCGGCTAATTTTTATTTATTTATTGTAGAGATGCGGTCTCACCAAGTTGCCCAGGCAGGTCTCAAACCCGCGGGCTCAGGCAATCCGCTCACCTCAGCCTCCCAAATCCCTTAACTCTTGGTAGCAACCCAAGCGCCTCAATTCTTAGCCCTCTGAAGTGACTCAACAGCTCAAGGTTCCCGCCCTGAGTTTAAGGACTCACATGTCCGGTTTCCCAATCTCTTATGCCTACAGGTAGGGGGTCATGTGGAAAGTAATTAATGGATTGTACAGCGGGGCTGTGACCTATCAAACAGGGAATGACCCTGGAGCAATGCTGTCAGGCCCCGGCCAGACCAGGCGTGTCTCTTTCGCTGCTGGACTGTCGGGAGGTCTGGGGGGTCTCAGAAGCAGAGGCACCCCATGTCCCACCTCTGAGCTCTCAGCTGCCAGGGGTCCCAGGTCCTTTCGTTTTTACTCTCGGAAGTACGTCCAGGCTACAGTGCCTGCCAACCCAGGACTCAGACCCCGGGGCCCGCGTGGCCTCCTCCTTACCTGCTTGGCTTGTCCCTGCAGGCCTGCAGGCGTGCCTGGACCTCATCGTAGGTGAGGAAGGCCATGTAGCCCGGGTGGTTGACGGCCAGGAGCTGCCAGTTCTTGAGGAGTGTTGGCCATGGCTGGGGGAGGACAGGCCTTGGGTCAGAGGGGACCAAGGAAGAAGCCCGTGTCCACAGAGGCCCCGGGGGTGTGAGAATCCAGCTGCCCGCCCCCACCCATGGTGGGCGCAGGAGTCTCTCAACGCAGAAGACCCCAAACCCTGCCTTCTCCAGGATTCAGGAGTGTGGGACTCCAGCCCTCCCTCCCTCAGACCCAGAAGTCCAGGCCCCAGCCTCGGCCTCCCCTGACCTGGAAGAGCCTGGTGAAGATGTCGAACTCGAAGACGGACACGTGGCCGCTGCAGGTGAGGTCCACCGTGGAACGCAAGGCCAGGGCGGTGGATCCTGCCTCTACGGGGTGGCAGGTGCACAGGAGCGACTCGAACTCGGCCCAGGGCAGCACACACCTGGGCGGAGGTGGGGGAGATGCAGCTGAGGCCTGGGGGGGACCCAGGATGGGCGCATCTCAAAGAAGGGAGCAGCCGGGGGCCAGGACTCCAGGCAGGGGCGGCGGGCTCACTCACCGCACCCCGCAGTGCTCCCTCCAGAAGGCGTGGGCCGGGGCCATGGCCAGCTGGTACGTGTCCCCGCAGTACTTTCCCCCCGGGAAGAGCGCGCCCAGTTCCGTGTGCATGTGGCTGAAAATGAGGGCCAGCTTGGCCAGCTGTCGCCTGCGGGGAGGGAATCGGGCCGGGCTGGATCTCGGGGCTCCCATGGATGCCCCTTCCTTCCGCAGGAGAACACCCGCAGAGACAGGCCCAGATGCTTTTTCTTTTGAGTCGGAGTCTCACTCTGTCACCCAGGCTGGAGCACAGGTGCACGCTCATGGCCACCGCAGCTTTGACCTGCTGGGCTCAGGCGATCCTTCCATCTCAGCCTTCCAAGTAGCTGGAGCTACAGGCATGTGCCACCACGCCCGGCTAAGTTGTTGATTTACCGTATAGACGTGGTCTTGCCAAGTCGCCCAGGCTGGGTGCGACCGACTAGGCCCTAGATTCTAACTCTCCAGGCAGGGTAAGTGTCTACTCCAAGACTGCTGTCTCAGTTCTGAGGTCTCCCTTTTCTGAGCTTCAGTTTCCTCGTCTGTGAAGGAAGTGTAGAAACTGCCCTGTCTCCAAGTTAGAATGTTTGATGTTGTCTCAGGGTGGTTCTACTGCCAGGTACAATGCCAGCCTCTGCTTGAAGCCCACCAGACCGGAGAAGCCTCATGGAACTGTGGGACAACCAGAGCCACGGGGCAGTCACCATGCAGCTCATGCTTGGAACTTTCCTTTCCAGGCCTGGCGTGGCGGCTCACGTCTGTAATCCCAGCATTTTGGGAGGCTAAGGTAGGAGGATTGCTTGAGCCCAGGAGTTTGAGACCAGCCTGGGCAACATAGTGAGACCTTTTCTCTATAAAAAAATATTAGCTGGCTGGGCGCAGTGACTCATGCCTATAATCCTAGCACTTTGGGAGGCCAAGGCGAGAGGATTGCTTGGACCCACAGGTTTGAGACCAGACTGGGCAACTTGGCGAGCCCTCACCTCTACAATAAGTCAAGAAATTAGCAGGGCATGGTGGCACACACCTGTAGTTCCAGCTACTTGGAAGGTTGAGATGGAAGGATTGCCTGGGTCCAGCAGGTCAAAGTTGCGGTGGTTGTGAGTGTGCACCTGCACTCCAGCCTGGGTGACAGAATGAGACTCCGACTCAAAAAAAAAAATTAGCCGAGTGTGGTGACACAGGCCTGTAGTCCCAGCTTCTCGGGAGGCTGAGGAGGGAGGATCGGCTGAGGTAGGGAGGTAGAGGCTGTGGAGAGTCGTGATCGTGACACTGTACTCCAGCCTGGGCGACAGAGCGAGACCCGGACACACACACACACACACACACACACACACACACATGCACACACACGCACACACACAAAACAAACACACAAACAAAAACCTTTCCTCTTCCATTTCAGCAATGCTAGGGGTGAGGGTGGACTCCCATCTTTTCTCCCACTGCTAGCCTCCCTGATATGGAGCAGAATGTGGGGAACAGTAATGGCCAGCTCTGACTCTTATCAACTGTGTGATTTTTGGCAAGTTCTTTTTTTCCTCTCAGCCTCAGTTTCTTCAACTGCAAAATGGGTTTAAGTACAAGATAAGTACAGCCCCTGCCTCAGGGGGGATGATGAGGATGTTTTTCTTTTTCTTTGTTTTAGAGAAAGGGTCCCTGCTCTGTCGCCCAGGCCAGAGTGCAGTGGCACGAACACAGCTCACCACGGCTTCGATCTCCTGGGCTCAGACGATCATTCCCCCTCCGCCTCCCAAGTAGCTGGGACTATAGGTGCATACCACCACATTTGGCTATTTTTTAGATTTTTTTTTTTTTTAAGAGACAGGGTCTTGCTATGTTGCCCGTCACTCAGCAGCCCCTTCCTCGGAGTCCAGCACAGCAGACAGCACCGCCCACAGGCAAGGCCTGGACCATGTGAGTAACCCCGGAAGGGATCGTGATGGGGCCTAACAGTCAGGGTCTCCAGGAGGGGTCGGTTCACAGCACCTCACACAGGAAGCCCCATGCGGTCCCCACATTCTGGGAGAGGGGGACAGTGGAAACTTGAACCAGGCTGCTGGGGAACAAGTGGAAGGGGAGGTAGGGGCTGAGGGCATGAGCCCCAATGGAGGAAAAAGTGGGGGGGTAGTTTTCCAGGGAGGAGGGACTGGGGCCTGGACCCCTGGGTCCGAGGGAGGAGGTGCTGAGGCCTAGACCCCTGGGCCCGGGGGAGGAGGGATTGGGGTGTGGACTCCTGGGTCTGAAGGAGGAGGGGTTGGGGCCTGGACCCCGGAGTCCGAGGGCGGAGGGGCTGGGGTGTGGACTCCTGGGTCTGAGGGAGGAGGGACTGGGGCCTGGACCCCTGGGTCCGAGGGAGGAGGGGCTGAGGCCTAGACCCCTGGGCCCGGGGGAGGAGGGATTGGGGTGTGGACTCCTGGGTCTGAAGGAGGAGGGG